TGTGTGTTTCCTGCCAAAAGTAAGAGCTCTGCCAATAGAGGCGAAGCATGAAGCTCCCAGAATTGCTTTGTGGAGGCATAGTTGGTTTGTCTGTTGGGGCCTGCGTCAATGATGGATCCATGCAGTAATCCTTCCCACTATCTCCACTTCCATTACACCCAGGTACTGGCTGTGTTCCACTACGCTGCATACAAATCAAATTGCCCATGCAATCGCTGTCTGATTGCAGTTAGGCAAAACGCAACAGTGTGAGTGACATGCACTATGAGTAAATGCGAGATTATTGGTTTCTTACCACTATCGCAATCCCCCTCACACATAGTAAGCGGGAACCCATTCCTGTTAGTATCATTGTCTCCGACAAATGATAATGTATTTGTTGGTACCCTAACAGGCTGTTGAGTAGGTCGGCGCGTGGGAGGTTTCGTTGGACTAGGAGTTGGAGGCTTTGTCGGAGGTTTTGTAGGACTAGGAGTTGGAGGCTTCGTCGGGGCCTTTGTAGGCTCAGGAGTAGGGTTTAGCGTCGGAACTGGTGCTGGATAGGATGTGGGCCATTTTGTCGGAGACTTGGTTGGCGAGTAGGATGGAAATGGAGTCTGTGGCGGAAAAACGCTGGGAGCTGTAATCGTTGGGGATTTTGCTAGTGTAAAGAAGCCTTGGGCTGGATTCTTGGCTTTGGTGGACCCAGACGGAGAATGAGTAGGAGCTCCAGGAATCGAGGGCATGATTAGCGATTCTGCTTGTCCAGCCAACTTCCAACGCTGCTTGAGCCTATAGCTATAAGGCACTTCTTTCCGTAGAGGGAACGTTTGCAAGTCTCTATTTTGGTGGTCGTCTCCTCGGATAATCTTTCCCTTCATCCTAGAGCCAAGTACACCAATACTTCCAGCATGAATGATGAGGAGGATTGCTACAATGGAAGATTTCATCGTTGGCTGCTGCAATCTCCTCAGCGATGAGCGGAAAGTGATTTGAGTTTTGGGTGATAACATAAAACGTGAAGTGATGTGACCCCAAAGAGGCCTAAAAAAATGTTCAAAATTACTTAACGCCTCGACGAAATCACTGAATAGATTTTGAATACGGCCGAAAATATCAGCAGCTTTGGTCGCAAGATACATAAAATAATAATGAGAGACGATTCTTCACATGATATGTGCCCGAAAAATTGTCTGATCCAAAACGCTGGCCAGCCCGAAAATCTCGTGTGATTGCTCGAGTCAGTCTGGGGTTCGAAATGAGGATGTCATTCAACCTTTGGAAGAGGCAATGAAGTATATACATCTATCACACAGTACCTACGAAAATTTCAACATCTTTACCGAGAATCTGAGTCTTCAAGATCATGCCTGAGTTTGAATCAGATGTGATAGTCCAGATGTCATGACTGTGCTCATTCAGCAAGGCGGCCGGTCTTCAGTTTTTCACATCCTATTACAATATATCTGCTTTCTTGCAAGAGTATAATACATTTTATTTTCTATCTAACCAGCTAAATCGGCGATGATAGGAGTGGTCTAGGTTTCGATGGTTCCGCGGTTTGTCTGATGACAACACTAAACTCGATTAGAATATCTTGTAATTCTTCAAGTGCGGCTACTGGTGTATGCTTGGCTAATATAACTAAAGTGTTTTTACCTATTTCCACAATCATCAATTTACATGCTACGAGGCGGCTTCATTTGAAAACCCTTTGTCAATATACAACCTCATCGATGATACTCCTCCCAGTATATTGTCTCGTGATTCCTTGCAGTCTCACAACTGTGCAAGCCGACCAACTCTTTGTCCTGCGGGAAGAAACGACCATACATGTGAGTCAAACCTGCAAAAATCTACCATTGGTACACCCAAAGAAACTTGCCTTAGGATGGTGCAGTTGGCTAAGGCACTTGCTGCTGCTCCTTGGCCAGGTCCGTTGGTGGTATGGACGAAGTTCAAACTTGTTGATATCAGTTATCGGCATGAAAAGCTGCCTAGAGCTCCCACTGTCGCATTGTTTCATCTCAACATATCTATTGCTGACTGTAGAAAGGCAAAGATTGGAATCACGAGCGCGGACTTGATCTCCAGAGCCACTGTTTTTTAAAATGTCCCACTTGAAATGACGGCGTGTGTCCTTACATTTGCGAATCCAGACTGTATACCCTTCACGACATGAGCCTCCATTATTCCCGGGCACGACGCAGCCGTGATTGGGCCCGTCGCCCAACGAAAACTCATCACATTTTGTGCATTCAAGACACCACCAGGTCTCGGCGTGTGTCTCTTGCCAGAAATAGGAGCTCTGCCAATAGAGACGAAGCATGAAGCCCCCAGAACTACTTTGTGTGGTAAGGGATAACGAGGGATCAGTACAAAAGTCTGTGCCAGGATTGTTTCCAGATCCGTTGCATCCTGGAACACTTTCTGTTCCATCACGTTGCCTACAAATTAGATTATCCATGCAATCATTGTCTGTTTGTATTCAAGCAACAAGCAGGAATGTGAGTTGCATACGATACAGCGAATGCGAGATCATGGGTTTCTTACCACTGTCACAATCTCCTTCACACATTGCGAGAGGGAACTCATGACTAGGGTTTCCATTGTTCCCAACATATGACAAAGTATCTGTTGGCACCTTGATTGGTACTTTTGTAGGACTTGGTGTTGGAAGTAGGGTTGGGAACGGAGTGGGCTTCCTTGTTGGAGAGCGAGAAGGCTGTGACGACGGCGATTCAGATGGTACTGGAGTCTGTGGCGGCCAAACGCTGGGAGGAGTTGGCGAAGATGGATTCTTGCCAAGAGAGTAGGTAAACGCTTCGGCTTCTGTTGGGCTCTTGGCTTTGCTGGGTGCAGAAGGATGAGTTGTTGGAACAGAGAATGTTGTTGTTAGTCTTGCTCTCTTTAATCCTGCCTTGAGAGCGTAGTTCGAAGGGACTTGTTTTCTCTGCTGAAAAAACACAAGGTTCCTGTTTTGATGATCGCTTCCTCGGACCTTCTTTCCAGTTGGCCTCCCGGTAGACCCAGAGACGCAAATATTCTCCAATTGCAATGCAAAAAGGAGTGTCACTATGGCGTACTTCATCGTCGATAGGCGCATTGTCTGTTTGGTGGAGATCTGTAAAATAATGTATTCAAAAGGTTTTCTAAAACCTCTCTATCACATGTGCAACACGACAAATATATCGCGCGTGTCAGTTTTATGATCGCCTCACCAAAAATACACGACATAAATCTGAAGAACGACGAAAAATGCGAGCAAACCTCGATGGTTTCATGTTGCACGTGTCGTTGTTCCGAGTTCGGAACTCATTCAACGATGAAAAATGATTACTCTACGTGTACCCGGTTTCTAAACGACCAATATGATACTAATTGCAAAACTAATACTTGCGAGTTATGAATACTATAAAACAAGGTAAACACCTTGACTCAATCCGATGAATGGATCAATCTACCGATGAAATTCCTCCCAGTAGAGTGTCTCGTGACCCAGGGCTCGGCGGCAGGGCTGCATTCCAATAAGTTCTTTCTCCTTTGGATGATGCATCTTACGAGAGACGAAAAGTGCACGGTGGCAATGAGAAATCGATGTTTTCACAAGCAAGTCAGGAATGAAAGAAACTTACTTGAGTCAGGCAAATCGCATCGTTGCGTGACCACCTTCGCTGAGAGTAAGGTCTCAGCTCGAATCTGTCCAAGTCGGCGATCGGCATGAACAGCTGCTCACTTCTTGTGTTGTCACATGGTTGAATCTCAAGGTATCGATTGTCAACCGTATGAAAACACAAGTTGGTACCGTCTGCTCGAATTTGATCTCCAGATCCTGGATTGCTCACAATGTTCCATTCAAACTTCCTTCGCGTATCTGTGCATTTTCTAATCCAGATCAAGTGCCCAGGTGCACAGGAACTACTTCTACTTCCAGGAGTTACGCATCCATGATTCGGTCCGTCGCCCAACGAATATTCGTCACATTTCGTGCATTCCATGCACCACCAAGCCTCCTTCTTAGTCTCTTGCCAAAAGTAGTCAATTGACCAATACAGACGCATCATGAAATTGTGGGTTGGATCTCCTAGTCCCTGTGATGTTGGTTTTGCTGTAACTGGAGCAGGCGTGGGTTTCTCTGATGGTGCGTCTGTCTTGGATGGATCGAAACAGTAATCAGTGCCAGCTGCTCCATTGCCATTACAACCTGGAACCTTTTCAAAAGCGTCGCGGGACATGCATTTCAGACCAGACTGACAGTCAGAATCTGTTGATAATCAGGCCAGGGCAAAGAGCATGTGAGTGACATCAAACTCGGCACAAATACCAATTCATTCGTTTTTCGTTACCTCTATCGCAATC